TTAAATGGAATGCCCTGTATATTTTAAGAGAATCAGATGCACAACTTAATTGTCTATCAAATTGTATTACACCATTTTTTACCTATCCCTTCAAGTTTTCGTAGAAAATGCATTTTCTTATAATTTAGACCTCATTTATCAATATACCCATGGAATATTGACATTTTAGATTGTTTTTAAAACAACAAATGTACAAAATGTACAGGCTAGTAATATTATCGTTTTTACCAAAACGATATTACTAGCCCATTTGTATGCAAAAAGGTCTTTAAATATTTATAAAAAGGAATTAATTATTATTCATTAATTAAATATACCACCATTATTTCCGCCCAAATACTAATTAATTACATACTTAATTGTGTTCGTTAATAAATTATTCTAAATAAATGTGGATTTGAATCAGAAATCAATATAATAATAAGTTGAAAATGAACGTCTCTGTTATAAACAAGCATTTGTCCAAAAATGAAATATCATTTTTAAGGTGTTACTTTTTACCGCACTGTCTAATACGCATACAAAATTCAGTTTTTTAGTATTTGGAGCAATTATTATTAATCAACGCAAACAGTCAATTAATGTAGTTTGAATACTGGAATCATATTAATAGGTCCTCTTTAACAAATATTTAAACAGTTTTTTTTATTTTTTAATGAAATAATCGAACTATATCGACAATATTAGTATCTGTAATCTTTAAAAATGTTGTACATCTTTAAAAATAATCTAAAATGTCAGTATTCCATGAGTATATCAATAAATGAGTTCTAAATTACAAGAAAATGCATTTTCTACGGAAACTTGAAGAGATAGGTAGAAAATGGTATAATACATTTTGATAGACAATTAAATTATGCATCTGATTCTCGTAAAATATACAGGGTGTATCATTTAAATTAAACAAGTTATTGCCGTTTAAAGCTAGTAATTATTTAAAATAAATTTTTAGACACTCTGTATAAGGTAGTATAATTTTTATTATTGCCACACGAAACTCAGTAAATAGAAATACTTCAGTACAATATTTGGTTTTAGAAACTTAAATACACTTAGAGAAATGAAGCATTAAAATTATTACTGTATTTTGACAAAAACCTAAATATTTCAAAAACGGTAAGGTTTAACTGTGATAAACCTTAATCAAATTTACCTTTATTTTAATCGTAGAAACTAAAAATATAATAATATACAGGGTGTTCCATTTAAAAAAATACAACTTTGATATTTTATATTTATTTGGGACACTCTGTATCTTGTAAAAATATTTTTAAATTGTAGCTCTAATAGTCCTTCAACGAACCCAAAACTTACAATTTGTAAAAATCTAATCGTTTAGCTACAATACTCCGTGTCGTATGTGGTGAACAACCCTGTATATCTACATAAAACGAGATGTAATTAACGAAATATCATCGTAACAACAGATATTTTAGAAACTTCTAGGTTTACTTATTTCACTGAGATTTATGAAAAAAAAGTCCTTTGTCTCAGGTATAGAAACCGACACGTAGTGGAAGTAGCTCGAGACAAAACGAAATTGAACGAGACAACAGGAATCAACCCAAAGTCCGCAATTTCAAGAGAAGTTTCGAGGCGTTTTTAAGAAATGGAAGTAGGTGAAGACAAATGAAAGTTTCCACATTTTTTCAGAATATGGACATTAAAAATAAAGAAAATCAAATGTATTTCACTGTCGCTCTAAATGTGTACTTAGTTTTGCTCTTTTTTTTTGTACTTAGTCTTTGCTCTAAATTTGTACTATTTCTTCTTTTAATATTGCCCTAATTCGGAGTGAATTTGATCGTATTTTTAAACTTCAAAATAGAGCAGTTCGATATTTATTGGGACTGAACAGTAGAACTCACTCCCAGAATTTCATTAAAAATTTCAAACTACTGACTCTTCCTTCTTTATTCATTTTTGAATCCGTTTGCTTAATCCGCAAGCACATATCTGCTATTCCTGAAAGGTCATCTCACAACTATCCACTTAGGAATGCGGAGCACGATCTTTATCTGCCAACCCCGAGCTCAGAACTAGTTAGGCTCAATACTGTACAATGCCAAAAAAATGTACAATCATCTGCCTTTGAATATCCAGTCGCTTTCATTCTTTCCCGCATTTCGCAAAGCTCTGAAATCATACTTACTGGAGAGAGCAGCTTATATATGCGATAAACGACTTTTTTGTTGATGTTTAATCATGAACAAATTTTGAATTTTAAATTTTGATCATCTCACACACTGGTTAAAGGTCTAGTATTTAATATTTTATAACTCTTACATGATTATATGCATTTACAATTTTCCTATTGTAAATTTTATTTATACACCTTTTTTGTGTTCTGCAATGTCCATGTATGTTCTATTTGCAATTTTAATGACGTAATGAGATGAACCGCCTATTTAAAAATAGACATATTTATTTAAATTCAAAACATTCATTTTTAAGACACTCTGTATACATAAACAAAATTATTGATTTTTAAAATTTATTCACAAACTAGGGAGAGGGGAATCAGGCGACCAACAGAGGTGATAGTTGTTAGATAATAGCTTCTAGACTATCATTCGAGACGCATTGATTTTATTTTGGTTCTTGAGTTCTGTGAGAAAGAATGTTATTAAAGGTAAAGTAAATGTTTTCTCATTTTTTAACTAATAACTAAATCATATTATTTTCTTTTCTTGTTGTAATTCTGTTTTTTCATTATTCATTTGATCTGACAAAGACAATATATAACATGTGTATGCATTTAATGGAATCTATTTATGCTGTAAATAATTTCAGTTTAAAAGTAATCTAAATAAAATCGTTTACTGTTCCTTCGTGCCGATGTTTGTGGTTTGTGAGAATAAGGGCCTTGTTGAGTGTACTAACAATTTTCGATCGTGCATGGGCGAATATCTTAGATCACAAAAGGGCAAACAAAAGCAATAAATATAATAACTCATAGAATAACTTACAATTTCTTAAATTATAAGATATTGGCACCAAACCTTCAACTTTAGCGTCGATTCCGCAACAAGGGACTTCCTACCTACGGGTGGGGACCCGTTAAACTAACAAAAAACTCTTCAGTTTTGAATGATATAAATGTGGCATATTTTGAATGTATTAAACTAGTTTTGAATGTATTAAACCTAGGTATGAGGACAGTTTCTATATCATTATTTCTCTTTTATTAAAGTTCAGGACAGCTTAGTTAGAATGTCTGGAATAGTGATCATGGTTTTCTCTGCCGTGCTCTTTTACATGTGAATTCCAGGCAGAGTATGGCACTACTTTCATTTCATTTAATAAAATAAATAGGGCTATTTACAAATTTAGCGTTTTATTTACATAACCTATTCTCCTCAAATTTCCCAAAATATTGCTTTGTCGAGGCGCATCCGAGGTAATCACAATAAAAAAATATTTAACACAACGTAGGTTCCTTTCTTTCATTTAAATTGTTTGTTATACAGTTGGCCAAAATATTACCTCTTCAACTTTGTTGACGAATTTGGGTTGTTACACTACAGTAAATTTTTTGAATTGATTTGAATTGTATGATATTTTTTATTATTTGTATATTTTGTGTGCTTTTGTTTGTTTTGTAAATGCTTTGTCGATGAAGCTATTTTGGATTTTTGTACAATAAAGCGTTATTTGAGTTAATTAAAGAAAGCTATAAAGGTAACTTTAATTTTCTCCTTGGTATCCTTTTATTAAACCAATAAAACAGCCAGAAAAAAAGCAATTACATTCGATGCCGGGTTCTTAAAGTCAGCTAGTCGTAAACTGTCTAAACTTCTTCGACTTTAGTAAAAATATAGCTTAATTTCGAAACATTTTGATTAGATGGGGAGAAGTTTATATTAATTTTCGTTTCCATAACATTTAATTATAAAGTAACTTGCCTTACTAAGGAAAACCTCAGATTTGAAAATAATCCTTTGTTTATTCCGAGAACGAATGGTCCTCTTTTTTATATACAAATTAACGTTAAATAACGTCAGTACTAGTCTGGGGCTGATTAGAAAAACTACAACTGTTCTATAACTAAGATAGACTGCAATACACCTTCTACACTATTGGGAAAACAGTTCGAAGTACGTCAAGGTCGCGTTTGGTAGCCTAATTTTGTTGCAACTCGGCTTATCACCGGTTGTCTTGGCCTATTATCTTGACCTACTTTTATTTCTTAAAAACCCCTCGAAACTATTCGTGAAATTGCAGAGAAGGGCGTGAGGAGATTTTGTTTTGGCGTTTCCTGTTGTCTCGTTCAATTTCGTTTTATCTCGAGCTACTTCCATGACTTGTCGATTTCTATGCCCGAGACAAAGGACTTTTTTTCATAACTTTCAGTGAAAGGAGTAAACCCAGGCGTTTCTAAAATATATGTTGTTACGATATTTTGTTAATTACATCTCGTTTTATGTTGATATATATTTCACAAGATTAATATTTCAACACGCGTTTATAATATGTATAGTAGATATTTATCAAACAAAAATTTTCACTTAATCTGTAGAAATATAATAACAATATTTTTATTTTATTATAATGAAGTATATAAAATTGTATATTTTTGTGATTGTTTACCGCCTCAATTGATTAACATAAAAAATAGCATGTAAAATATGTAAAATAGCATGTGAAATTACCGAGGGGTGTCTCATTATTGGAATTACCTGTACATTTTTTTGGCAGTTGCTGGCAGTCATTGGCAGTCTTATGGCAGTCGCCTATAATAATTACATGGCAGTCATAGGCAGTTTTCTTCATAGTCATTGGCAGTCGCTTAGCAGTGGAAGGATATTTCGGCAGTACGTGTACATTTTTTACCCGAGTGAGACACCCCTCGGAAATTACCAAAAAAAAATGGCAACAATCGCAAACAAAAGGCACAAAGACCACAAATTATTAAAAGCGGACTTCAACCTAGATTATACATAATAATAATTTCATTTGGAAATAATATGATATATACTATAATAATTCAATGGACTCACCAATTCATCAGCAGGTGGATCTGTCCAAAACTGCTCAACGCTCTTGGTACGTGAGTAATCCAAAGCACACGGTCCGACCAAAAGAGAACTCAAAATTGTGCCATAATCTGGATCTGCTACCAAAGCATCTTTGTCGTAGTATTTGGGAGCGTTACTGACTAAATAGTCAATAATTTTCGATAGCTGCTTATCAAACAGTGCTAATCTGAAAAAAAATAGAAGCTTAAGAGAAAAAGTATAATTCGGTAGGATTAACTTGTTAATTTTAATAAAAACTGAAGCACACTGAAGCACAATGTTAGCCCGTATAATACAATATATGATAAAAAAAATCACATCAGCGATGGCTATGAAATGAAGATTCTGTCATTTTATATGTATAACTCTATGAATAAGAAGACTAAGGAAGGAGCATATCAAAAATCTTAGGTACACCACGATGGGCCTCAAATATGGCCGACTTAAATTCCGGTTTATCAGTGTCGTTCTAATTTTATTTAAAAAATGTAAAACTATGATGTAGGGTAGACGTGGGGTAGACTCAATAATTTGTTGTTTTATTTTACGTTGTGAATAAATGTTGGTAGTTATTAAAATTGTTATAAAAATATATAATTCTAATAAAAATAGATAAGTTATAATAAGTATTTATTAACACAAACATCCGATACGCTACTGAAGCAGGTAAGTCAAATTAGCGTATCTAAATTCTTTGACATCTAATCTTTGACAGTAATAAATAAAAGCTAAAATGCAAGAAAAATATATAATTTAGTTAATTTAAGTGAATTTCATAAATGATCGGTTTACTACACGTAAGTATATTATATAGTCACTTACTAGCGAAAAGTTGTTCCATTATTTCACTCAGTTTTTGCCGAGATTTTACCGCACGCTACACAACCAACTATTTTAGAGTCTTTTTCATAAATCGCGATAGTGTCACTGTTAATTTAAGTGCTGCCACAATTTCCATCTAGATTTACTACCTTTATACAACTATCAGTAGTAGAATAAATAATAAATAACATAAAATAAGCTCCGTAAAGACTGACAAATCCACAAAATTTCAAATCAAATTCAAATGTGTCAAATGAATCGTCAAACAGAACTGTCAAGGATCCCCACCCTAGAGTGCTTTTATGGTGCTTTTTCCGCCCACCATGCATGAATACATGGATAGCATTATGCTCCTTCCTTAGTCTTCTTATTCAAAGGTATAACTAGATGAGGATGACAACCAAGATTAACAAAGGTTATTTTGTGAAATAGCACAAGGCAATCAAGATCAAACGTTGTTGTGGCTTCAGAAAAATAAGTAAACATGAAAAAACTGATATAAAAACAGTTACCGATGGTAAATTAAATTGGCTGTTCCTCAAAGGGCGCATTCTCACAACTCGTCTACATATTTGTAACTGGTATACAGCGTATACAGGGTGCGTCGGGCATCTGTACAGAATTTCTAAGTTATTTGTTATAGGAAAGGAACTACGCCGCACTCCCGCCAAACCCTGTAGGCCAATAAAAAATACTTGCCAAGTACACGAGTCGTGAGAACGCACCAGAAGATTACACAAGAATATTTAGTTTTAATCATTGTCTAATATTATTAATTACAATATAGTAAAAACATATAAAACATTGACTAACTAGCGGTCTACCATTTATCGGCTTATAATCCACGGTATTGCGCCTCATAAACAAAATATGCACAAAATGATTTAAAAAATCGTCTAATTATTTATATGGTAATGTAACATTTATACTGTAGTCTGTAGCAAAGTTTAGTTTACGAATTTGTTTTGGTTGTTTAGTTTTAATTGTCTAAATCCCCGCATAATAAATACTAGTTGAATGGATTTATATCAAACCATCCTGGGTGCTAATAAAAGTATCGTTTGCAGACTTTTCTTAAGAACAATAAAAGAACATTGCTTTTAAATAATGTAGGTGGATCATACTTTTGTTGACATCGGGTTAATTAATAATTTTCACAAGCGGTTATATTGATAATATCATCAAGCAATACTACTGTTATACAGGGTTCTTCACCACATACGACACGGAGTATTGTAGCTAAACGATTAGATTTTTACAAATTGTAAGTTTTGGGTTCGTTGAAGGACTATTAGAGCTACAATTTAAAAATATTTTTACAAGATACAGAGTGTCCCAAATAAATAAAAAATGTCAAAGTTGTATTTTTTTAAATGGAACATCCTGTATATTATTACATTTTTAGTTTCTACGATTAAAATAAAGGTAAATTTGATAAAGGTTTATTACACTTAAACCTTACCGTTTTTGAAATATTTTCAATTTTGTGAAATTGCAGTCAAAATTTTAAGGCTTCATTTCTCCAAGGGTATCAGAGTTTTTAATACTAAAAATTTACTGAAGTTTATTTATTGATCAGTTATTGTGTTGCAATAATAAAAATTATACTACCTTATACAGAGTGTCTAAAATTTTATTTTAAATAATTACTAGCTTTAAACTGCAATAACTTGATTAATTTAAATAGAACACCATGTATATTTTATGAGAATCAGATGCACAATTTAATTATCTATCAAATTGTGTTATACCATTTTTACTTATCTCTTCAAGTTTCCGTATAAAATGCATTTTCTTGTAATTTAGAACTCATTTATCAATATACCCATGGAATACTTACATTTTAGATTATTTTTAAAGATGTACCAAATTTTTAGAGTACAGATACTAATATTATCGAAATAGTTTGTGGATTTCATTGAAATATAAAAAAAGCTGTTTAAATATTTGTTAAAGAGGACCAATTAATATGATTCCAGTATTCAAACTACATTAATTGACTGTTTGCGTTGTTAATAATAATTGCTCCAAATACTAAAAAACTGAATTTTGTATGTGTATTAGAGAGTGTGATAAAAAGTAACACCTTGAAAATGATATTTCATTTTTTGATAAATGCGTATTTATAACAACAGAGACATTCATTTTCATAACTTATTATTTTATTGATTTCTGATTCAAATCCACATTTATTTAGAATAATTTATTAACGAACATAATTAAGTATGTAATTAATTAGTATTTGGGCGGAAATAAAGGTGGTATATTTAATTAATGGTATACTTTTTTATAAAGATTTAAATAGTTTTCTTTTTGCATACAAATGGGCTAGTAATATTATCATTTTGTTAAAAACGATATATTACATTTTATACATTTGTTACTTTAAGAACAATCTAAAATGTCAATATTCCATGGGTATAGTGATAAATGAGGTCTAAATTATAAGAAAATGCATTTTCTACGAAAACTTGAAGGGATAGGTAAAATGTGGTATAATACAATTTGATAGACAATTAAATTTTGCATCTGATTCCCCTAAAATATACAGGGCGTTCCATTTAAATTAAACAAGATATTGCCGTTTAAATCTAGAAATAATTTAAAATAAATTTTTAGACACTCTGTATGAGGTAGTATTGTTTTTGTTATTGCCACACAATAACTGATCAATAAATAGACTTCAGTAAATATCTAGTATTAAAAACATTGATACCCTTGGAGAAATGAAGACTTAAAATTTTTACTGCAATTTCACAAAATTGAAAATATTTCAAAAACGGTAAGGTTTAAGTGTAATAAACCTTAATCAAATTTACCTTTATTTTAATCGTAGAAACTAAAAATGTAATAATATACAGGGTGTTCCATTTAAAAAAATACAACTTTGATATTTTTTACTTATTTGGGACACTCTGTATCTTGTAAAAATATTTTTAAATTGTAGCTCTAATAGTTCTTCAACGAACCCTAAACTTACAATTTGTAAAAATCTAATCATTTAGCTACAATACTCCGTGTCGTATGTGGTGAACAACCCTGTATAAGGCCGAAAACAAACATACCATATACAATGTTATATACTAATTCATTATAATAAAATTAAATCATAAATTTTTTGTAATTATGTTCCTTCAGTTTAAATGAAAAGTTTTGTTCCTAAATATCTACTATACATATAATAAGCGCGTGTTCAAATATTAATTCTGTGGAATATATATCAATATAACGTAGTCTAGGTTTACATATTTCACTGAGATTTATGAAAAAAAATCCTTTGCCTCCGGTACAGATACCGCCATGTTTTGGAAATAGCTCAAAACAAAACAAAATTAAACGAGGCAACAAAAAACGCCAAAGAAATCCCTTTCGTCCTCTTCAAGAGTAGTTTTAATTTGCTTTTAAGAATCGAAAGTAGGTCGAGGCAAACCGAAGTGGATCAAGACAACTGGAAATAAATCAAAATGCATTCAAAGTTGGGCGACGAAATGCAACCTTGGCATGTTTCGAATTGTTTCTGGCATAATGTGTACGCTGTTTAACACTATAGAAACACAAATTACATAACAAGCTCCAGAAAGAATTTTAGTATGTTAATAAACTTCTATAAATATTACAGACTACATATACAATGTATATGTAGTATTATACATCATTAGGAAAAATATGTTTGTATACCTAAAACATTTACAAACCCACAAAGTCAACATTGGAGCGGGATGTATTCATTTTCTTTTCCCATTATTACAATATATTGCGTGTTATAAAATAGACTATTAGCCAATTATAAAAATTGTTGGCCATACTGCAAAATGTGCGTCAGTAGTATGTGTAGGTCTAATATTGTTTTTGGAGGCAAAGGAATATCATTTCAAAACAAGCACACGCGTACCTATAACCGTATTATTTTTCAGATTCATTAAAAACAGTATGAGGATAAATTACAGAAAAATATTTTACATTCTGTGCATTTTGTATCTTTTTATTTTTTTAGAATAAAAAAGTTTTAGTTTAGCAGAAAAGTTTGAATAGCGTTACCAATACAACTAAAATAAAAAAGTGACAATAAATATAAAAAATCTGCCCAAAAATATCCAGTCCAAACATGTACGATCCATTTTATATTAAGGGGGTTTTTTCAAATTTTATTTTCACAGAGTAAAAAGTATTTTACTGTGCGTGTCTGTTGTACTAAGAAGTAGGGGTTATCTGTTCTAAGCGGCATTTTTATGGTAATTTTTTAATTTTATAACATTTTTAATATTCAATAGTTCTAAAATAAATATTCAAGTGCAAGAAAATTTTGCTATAACTATATAAAATAATATCGAGAATGAGAATGTAATCTATTACATAAGGGACATGCATATCGACGCTTTGTCGAAAAAATTGAGTTCTGCCTGTTTTGCATTAAGATCTGTTTCTAAGGAGCTTAACTTGTCAGTAGCTAGAACTGTTTATTATGCACTTTTTGAATCGCACCTCAGATATGCCCTTCCATTCTGGGGTACGTGTTGTGCGACTCAATTTGACTGCATTTTCAAGATCCAGAAGAGAGCTGTTTGATATTCACTGGGACTAAACAGCAGAACTCATTGCCAGGACTTTTTTAAAAAAATAATAAATTATTAACTCTTCCTTCCTTATTTATATTTGTGAATCCGTTTTCCTAATAGGGAAGCATGTATCAGCTTCTCAAGAAAGGCGATCTCACACTTATCCACTCAGGAACGTGGAGCAAGATCTTTATCTACCTACCCCACGCTCAGAGTTAGTTAAAAGTTCAATATTATACAACTCGAAAAAATTGCACAATCACCTGCCATTCGCAAAGCATTGAAATCTTATTTACTAGGCTTTCTACGTCATAAATGACTTATATTTTGATAATCGAATTTGATCTTGTAAACACTGGCCTAATGTTTGCTATTACTATATTTACCAATGACATTGAGGTAAATTTATCAAGAGGTCATTGATATTTAGTATAAACTTACTAAATATTTTTTAATCTTATTTTTATTTTTTTATTCTTTGACACTGTAAACATTTATAAATGTTTATTTTAAACAATAAGACTCACAATGTTATTTGTATAATGTTTTGTATTCTCTCTTGTTTGTTTGTTTACTTTGTTTGTTTACTTTACCTTTGTCTACAAATTGTAAAAATTTTCGACAATAAAGGCATTTATTTATTTATTTTTATTTCACGGTGCTGACTCATTTTCCCCACTAATGACATAAAATATATAATATACTTTATATAAACCCTATTGTTGGATTCTATCCCTTCCTCCCCTCCTTTACCCGAAAAACCTTAGTGGGTACGTAGCCGTAGTCGAGTACGGAGAGAGACAAGATCGGCCGAGTACACAGTGTACACCTCCAAGCGCGCGCTATCCTCAAGTGTTTTGTTCAAGCAAAAAATCAACAGGTACGAGTCCAGAACGGGAGAGAGAAAACAAAGCAATAAAAAAAGATCAGTGGTTAGAAATATAGTAGAACCGATTGAAAAGGAAATTAATAATGTTGTCATGACTAGTCTAAAAATTGACACCAACAATCCAATAATGTTAAAAAAGATAATGAATAATATTATCAGACAGGACTTGAACATATAAATTGAGGTTAAGGCTATGCAGAAACTGGGCGATAGAACTTGTTTAATTGAGTTTGGGACAAAATTTACAGAACGAAAAATTAATGAAGAATAAATACAAATTAAAATATAGGAAAAACTAACGAATATTTATAAGCAATGACTTAACCAAGGGGAAAGATATCTACAGCAACAAAATAGGATTAAGAGACAAGGAAGAAAGCAACAAGGGTAAAGGGGTTGTTGAGGAGTTGTAAACAGGGTTGTGAAAGTGAGCTTTACTAAAATTTCAATAAACGGCAAAAAATGGGAGTAGGACAAATCTAGTAACAGACTACCGAAAATACAGCCAAAAACTAATCGGCAAAGAAATAGTGCAGGATCTTTGTTTGAAGGACGCGGCTATGACACAGATGGAAAATACAAGACAAAAAAATAGAGGTTGGAAAATAGCAACTTGGAATGTCAGAGGGCTAAACGGTAAAGAGGAAGAGATAGCATTGGAATACGAAAAAGCAAAACTAAACGTATAGTTACGGAAACTAAAAAGAAAGGGTGCAGATGTGAAGAATTAAACGGAGGTCACTGGACTCAGTGGTGTCAACCAAGAGACCTGCAAAGGCAGGCGTGGGATATATTAATAAGAAAGTAGGAAGGAAATCTGTTGCAGATGCAAATGGAAATTTATATCAGAAAGAATACTATTGATGTTGAAACTGATATTGAAATTCTGGTATCCATATGGTCTAAATGACGACAGTAAGGTAGAGAAACACAATAGACCCTTGCGGCCGCAATGGAGGATCCCACCTGGGATCCACTCTTAATCTAACTCTAACACTAGAGACTATACAGGTGTCCCATTTTCGTCTGTTTTGTAGGGTTTCTCTTCATGAGTAGGGTTACAAAGATGCGGTTATTACATTACTGTGCTACTTGTTTATGAAACTATAAAACTACTTGTTTATGAACTATGAAACTATGTTCGAAAATGTTGCAATTTTTGAACCCCGTCAACTCGTCGTATCTCGATATCTCATAACTAATCGAAAAGATGAAAACTGAGTCCCATAAAGTTTTTCACGTCGAATTCAGTAGCGTAACCAGATGTTCGCTCAATCTTGAAATATTACCCAAACTTATGTTTTAATCTGTATATTATTTTTTATATTGTATTACCCTTGTTATGAGCTGTCTCAAAATATAACATACTCTATACTTATTTTCATAAACATAATAGAACCCCCTGTATATTATTGCATATTTCAATTATACCTTCAATTCTAAGCAAAAAATCGAAATATGTACCTCAAACCAACCGTTTCCGAGTTATTGACTTTTGAACATATCACTTAAAAAATTGATTTAATTCATTTCGATATGTTCAGTTTCATTTAATGATATAATTCTGCCGAAACTGTGATACTGTTGTAATGGGTATTTAAATGCCTATTAGATACTAGTAAATTTAAGTATACAGGGTCGGTCAAAAAGTTGTGGCACATCAATTTTTTTTTTTTTAATGAAACCCCCTGTATGTTATTGCATATTTCAATGCTTCCTCCAATTTTAAGCAATAATCGGAATATACAATGTTCATAAATTGAAGAATTGAAATGTTAAATGAAAATTTTGAAACTTCCAGGCTTGATATAATCTCATTTTATACATCCATAAATACTAACTTGAGAAATAATGTCAAATACTATTAAGTATCACAGTTTCGGCAGAATGGCATCGTTAAATGAAACTAAACATATCGAAAATAATTAAATCAAATTGTTTAAGTGATATTTTCAAAAGTCAATAACTCGGAAATGGTTGTTATGAGCTTTCTCAAAATATAATATACTCTATACTTATTTTCATAAACAAAATAAAAAATACATTAATTAATTTTGTAACATAGTCAAGCGGTTTAAAATAGGTAATCAAAACAATTGATTAGGTAATTTATTCGTCGTCAAAAAGTAAACCAAGTACCTATTAAAAAATAAAACTAAAACATTTCAAAATTCATGGAATAATTACAGACTAAGTTCGTACCTTATCCATAAATAACGAGGTAATGGACTGGTAGGAAACGAAAGATTTTTCTTTAATGTAGGTTTTGTAACACTATCGCTGCTGCTGCTAGACCTTCTGTTAGGATCCACATTTTCAATTTCTTGTACCTTTTTTGATATCCTGTCGGCCTCAGCACAATGTTTAGCTATTTTGTGCAAAAGTGCGGTAGTAGAAGAGGTCTTAAATAGACCTAAAGCCCTTCGTCTTAAACCTGAAAAAAAATTAAGTATTAACTCACAAGATCAATGTCACATAAAGTAAATTCAAAATTATATTCAGTGAATCAGTAATAATAGAAATATTATTAATATCTTCTATAGTAAAAATTGAGCTACTAGTGAAACAGGTAAAATGATTTGGTCATCTAATTTTTACTAACAAAAATAGTACTAGTTTCTGTCATGAATATTAGCGCCTAATATCCTTAGAATTAAGGTAATTTGAAAATGAAAAGTGTATCATAAATTTATCAATTATGTTAAAAAATAATACAATAAAATATAATTTATTGTAATCTCAAAACATTCTCCGATGCACGCCATCAATCATATCGACATTGACACTAAAGTCTATAAACCTGACTGAATAATATTTAGGCAAGAATGTTTAAATTTATTATATAATTTAAGATACTGAGCAGCACATTATAATTATTGTACATTTTACTTTATAGAGCAAATGATTGTAACAGATATTTTATTTAGATTAAAGCTGCAAAAATTAGTCTAAACCGAATTTTATTATGGCTATGTTGGTCACATTGCGTCGCGATCAGCAATGTTGTCCTTTCTTATTTGACGATTATCCTAGTGTCAGTCATTATTTTGTATAATATCGTGTTGTTGTTGAATCTTTGTGAGTAATTCTCGGGTTTTTGCCTATTTTCATAGAATTTTTAAAAATGGCACTTTTAAGCACATACAGTTCTTTTATCTTAAAATTATCTAATTTCAAAAGTATTATATTAAATCTGATTTTTCGTGTGGTGAATAAGGCTGTATACCTTATTCACCACACGATTAGATTTTTAGAAAGTGTGAGTGATGGGATTGTTGAAGGACTACTAAAGCTACAATTTAAAATTATTTTCAAAAGATACAGAGTGTCTCAAATAAATAAATATCAAAGTTATATATTTTTTTAAATGGAACACCTTGTATATTTATACAACTTTAGTCTCTACGATTAAAATACGACTAAATTAATTAATTACGGTTTACCGTATTATAATCTTACCGTTTTTAAAATATTTACAATTTTGTGAAATCTCTTCAAGTTCTCGTAGAAAATGCATTTTCTTCTAATTTAGACCTCATTTATGCATACCCATGGAATATTGACATTTTAGATTATTTTTAAAGATGTAACAAATTGTTAAAAATACTCTGTGTCAAATGAGGTGAATAATCCTGTATAAAAATCACATTTAATAAAATACTTTTAAAATTAGATATTTTTTGTTACTTTCAAAAACGTCTGCTATCCGCGATAATCGTCTGCCATTGTTATTTTTATACAGGGTGGCTATGATGTATGGAAACGGTCGATTATTAGGTAAAATATACAAGGTACCGCATTTATAGAGATTTTAAATGTCTATTTGCGAGTAATAAATTTATGTATACAGGGTCGGTCATAAAGTAGTGGGACATCAAAGTTTCATTTTTTAAATAGAACCCCCTGCATATTATTGCATATTTCAATTCTTCCTTCAATTCTAAGCAAAAATCGAAATACACACAATGTACCTCAAACCAACCCTTTTCGGGTTATTGACTTTTAAACATATCACTTAAAACATTGATATAATTTATTTCGATATGTCCAGTTTCATTTAATGATGCCATTCTGCCAAAACTGTGATACTGTTGTAATGGGTATTTACATGGTAGACCTATCAGACCTAGGAGACATATCGCCGTCAGACATAACGGCCTATGTTAAAAGGCTTGAGGGTGAACTTTGACGCTCTTTGTATATTAGAGCTTGTAGAAACTGAGCAACAATAGGCCCTCGCAGCCGCAGTGGAGGGTACCATGGGACCCACTCTTAGTCAAATACAAAATACAATACAATGGGTATTTAAATGCCTATTAGCTACTAGTAAATTTAAGTAAACAGGGTCGGTCAAAAAGTTGTGGCATCAAACAACATCAAATTTTATTTTTTTTAAATAAAACCCCTTTGTATATTATTGCATATTTCAATTCTTCCTCCAATTTTAAGCAATAATCGGAATATACAATGTACACAAATTGAAGAATTGAAATGTTAAACGAAAATTTTGTAATTTCTAGGCTTGATATAATCTCATTTTAGACATCCATAAATACGAAAATTTTGTAATTTCCAGACTTGCTATACTTTCATTTTATACATCTATAAATGCTAACTTGAAAACTAAGGTCAAATACTATTAGGTATCACAGTTTCGGCAGAATGGCATCGTTAAATGAAACTGAACATATCGAAATTAATTAAATCAAATTGTTTAAATGATATTTTCAAAAGTCAATAACTCGGAAACGGTTGGTTTGAGGTACATTGTGTGTAATTCGATTTTTGCTTAGAATTGAAGGAAGAATTGAAATATGCAGTGATATACAGGGGGTTCTAATTAAAGAAATTAAACTTTTATGTGCCACGAGTTTATGCACGACCCAGTATACTTAAATTTATTACTCGCTAATAAATATTTAAAAATCCTATAACTTTTGTATTTAACTTTTTGCGGTACCTCCTATATTTTACCTAATAATCGACCGTTTCCATACGTAACAGCGACCCTATACCGGGTGCGTCTCAAAAGTGGCTCACCCCTATAACTTTTTTATTTTTTCAGATACAAAAACGAAATTTGGTATGTTAGTATATGACATAAATTAGGATTGATTGACGTATTCAATTGTTTTTGGTCACTTCCTGTTTCACCGGAAATGACTACAACTTTTGATTTTTAAATAGCATCCTCGGTATTTTTTTACTTTATTCAATAGAAAATGACCTTCTGAATAGAATGACATATCATATGTCAACTTTTGACATTCCCGCTTGATAAAAAATTAAAATTAAGTTAATTAAAATGTATTTTAAAATTCAATCTAGAGTGCCATGGCTATGTTAAAAATACTAATTCTTAATCAAGGATGAGCCTTGGAAAAATAGATTTGATCGTCTAATGTTTTTAGTGTCTTGTCCTGACCAGTTAGAAAATGCACAAATTCTATTTTTAATCATATCTCAATTTTTTCAAAGGGAACGAAGGTGGCTCATTAGCGTATTTCGAAAAAGCATTTTTTACGAGTAATTTGATACCACACACTTGGTATTTCGAGTAAAATTTTCGTTAGAAACCACAAGTTATAATTTCAAATAGACCATATGCGAAATGTCAAAAGTTGACATATGGTATGTCATTCTATTCAGAGTGTTATTTTCTATTGAATATAGTAAAAAAATACCAAAGGTGCCAACCAAACTAAACCAAAGGTGCTATTGAAAAATTAAAAGTTGTAGTCATTTCCGGTGAAACAGGAAGTGACCGAAAACAAATAAATACCTCCTAATCCTAATTTATGTCATATACTAATATACGAAATCTCGTTTTTTTAACTGAAAAAATAAAAAAGTTATAGGGGGTGAGCCACTTTTGAGATGCACCCGGTATAATAATGGTTATGTATTGTAACATTTATAAACGGCAGCTTTGATAAAATACTTTTATGGTTGGTGAAATTTAGACCCTTTGCGCACCCAAGTAGCTCAAGGATCCACCTCGCTGGGCTTAGCGAGACTCCATCTCATGGTTGACGGGTACGAGACTCACTAGACAAAATTTCAGGTTTTATAAATTACATATATATAGGTTGCAGCTGCCACTGGCTCTTAGACTATAATGTATAAAAAATTTTATCGGTTATACTAATGATATATTACAATCTCTATAATTTTAGAAATGTACATAAATATGCTCATTTTAAAGCATTCTTAGAACTTCAATAATCTTAAATGTCTAGAGAACTAAATACTGAAAAAATAATTTAGTTATGAATTTTTCACTAATAAATTTATTACTCACCATAAATATTAACCTAATATTCTTTAAATAATTATACAAAGAAAATCAAATCATAAATTTTTCAATTGTGATAAAAATAGTAAAGGAGTATAAAGAACAATTTCTATAACTTATGGATTTCTGAGTACATATTTACATCTTTAAAAGCAACACTAACAAACAGTCTCCTTAAATAAAAATTTTAAAGAAAAAATGCAATATACTTTATAATTTGTTAAAATTTTAATTTGTAAAAAATATAGTAATTTACACCATTTTCTGCATATTTATATATAATATAATTTAAACTCAACGTAGCAAAACTTTTCTATATATTTACATAAATAGTTTTCCTAGCTATTTTCACAAAATAAATAATTAATCAACTTTCCTTTAACCCTAGTTAACTCTAGTTAATTTACAATGTATGTGACAGCTGACGGTCATGCGGCAAGTATGAGTAATTTCACAATTTCGTAAAGACGTAATAATGAAAATATACAATGTCTCATCAATAATCTCGCATCCTAGAGATAAGCGAGCGCCACATCGTTTAACTAAGATGATCGAGCATAAACAGCTATATCAAGATTAATAGTCCAAGATTAATTTCCAATGTACTAGTTAATAAATAATAAGTATATGATATTTTTCTTTTGTTTTGAAATATACATTTGCTACATTAATCATCTCTATGGTTAATATGAAGGTTCATTACTCATTTTAATTTTCTTTTCCGTTTCCTGTAATATTCTTTATTGAAAAAAAAAATACTCTGAAAAGACTTGATAAATTGATACACTTTTTTATTTTTTAACAATTTAGGTTCGCATGAGAGAAACGTAATATATTACAATGTATAAATATACTTTCTGGAATATAAGTATGTCTAATAATAAAATTTTTACATAACCTTAATAGGTAATGTGAGAATCAGTATTTTTCTATTTTCTTATTTTTTTATTATATATGTAATGTATCCTTATGGGTATGAATAAAATGTGTATAACAGTTGGATGAAAATATTAAAAGGTCTCAAAATAAAATAATATATGGTTCATTTTTCTTTCATTAATGTATTGATTTAAGTGCTATCAGAAAACGAACAAAAAGCACAAAATTACACAAAATAAAAGATAAACTATTAATTGTTT